GAGTCATAGGGAGAGGCTGAATAGGCTTGGGCTATTTTCCCTGTAGTGTCGGAGGCTGAGGGGTGACCTTACAGAGGTTTATTAAAATCATGAGGGAGCATAGATAGAGTGAGTTGCCAAAGTCTTTTTCCCAAGGTAGTGGAATCCAAAACTGAAGCGCTTAGGTTTAAGATGAGAATCGAAAGATGTTAACGGGACCTAAAGGGTAGCTTTTTCATGCAGAGGCTGGTGTGTGTATGGAATGAGCTGCCAGAGGAGGTGGTGGAGATTGGTGTGATTACAACATTTAAAAGACATCTGGATCAGTATACGAATAGAAGGGGTTCAGAGGGATACAGGCCAAATGCTGGCAAATGGGACTAGATTAATTTAAGATATCTGGTCAGCATGGATGAGTTGGACCGAAGGGTCTGTTCCTATGCTGTACAATTCTATGACTCTATGAAATGAGCTTTGAAAAGACAGTGAGTGAGTTTGTGCATTCCTGACACAGTATGCTATGAGAGTGTAAGTTTGTAAGTAAGTCACTTCAGTAAACAAAATGCAACTGAGAAAATGAAAAAGGGGTAGGATGGATAAATAAGGAATGAATATTTAGATTTTTAACATAAGAAAATGATAAGACTAGAAAAATGATTAACAAACTGTAGCCATCTCCTATATGCAGTATGTTGTTCTACATTTTGTAGTCACTGGTGAAACAAGGTGCTTGCTACTGTCCTCAAAGAAAGTTTGGCTGAGATAGGTAGCTACCTCTGTGATAGTGACTCCAATTTTCTTGATTGTAATATTTTAAATGGAGTTTCCCCAGGACCTGCTGCAGATCAAACAGTCAGTCGCATTAAAGAATTCTGACAGACAAATGGCTAGGAAGGTAACAGCACTAAGCAAAATGCTTTTTTTTTTAGAAAAATGTACAAAAAGATTGGTATGAATTTTGAAGTGGAAAAGTCATGAAAAATCATTCTTCAATACTTGTTTAAAAATTATTTAAAATTTGTGGTTTAATAGTTGTAGGATTTTTATTTTAAATCCAGTTTCGGGAGTTTACACCCGGATTATTTCTGGGCTCTGTTGTGGCTGTATCACTGATGAGATGCTAATCTCATACGCTCATGCCCTCATTGTGCCAGCAGTTAATGCGACTCTGATCTGCGAGGAGGTGGCAGCTGACTGCTGAACACAGTCCTCAAAGGCAGATGGTAGCCATGATGGGGGATGCCAGTGCTTTGCAAAATAGATGAGGTTGGACATCAGAAAGCCAGCAACTTCACAGCCTAGAGTCGTGGTCAAAGAGCCAGGTAAAATATACTGCATCTGCTCTGTTACAGAAACCCTTTGTGGAAAATTATTCATTCAAGGAAGCATTGCTTAATGGATCCCCCAAAATTTCTACCTTTCTAGCCAAAAATTGTGTACCAGCCAGATTGGATTTATGATCTGCAGTTTGAAAGTTCTGGCTGTTCCCTGCCAGTAAACAAGAGGAGTTCAGTCCACAGCATCATGGGAGGTAAATGGGGTTCCTGGTTTTCTTTCAACCCTTGCTTGGAAAATCTCAGTATCTCCTGTAATCACTGGGACTCTGAGATACCATCCAGAAGTGTTATTATCAAAGCATCCATTCTCAACTCCCACAGGCAGCTGAGAATCCTAGCTCTAGTAGACGACCATGGTGGAGATATTTCATAACATTCCTCATATCTTATAGGTCAGGTTATTTGATCATCGAGTGTTTTTTTAGTTACTTCAACAATGCAGTTACAGGCTATTGAAAAAGATTTCCCGTTAACTGGGTTTTGTGACAATGAAATGGGGGTGAAAGGGGATTTTGCTGTTTGTCAACTTGGAGTGGGTGGTGAGGTGCTGGAGGAAATGGGTGTATGAGAGAGGTGGGGGAATAGGGTGATGAGAGGTGGGGCTGTGATGGATTGGGGAGGGGTGGGGATTGATTGGATAAGTTGAGGGGATGATGGGGAGTGGGAGAAATGCTGGTGGAGTCACATTGTACAGTCTGTGGCAGAACAGTGAATGATAGTCCTCAATCACAGGGATTCATGTTACTCACCATTTGTGCTTAACCTTGAATTTGTGGTCAGATTCAGAGAGGTAATGACAGCAAATGCTGACAGTTCACCAACAAATATCCTGCACATTCCAGGTCAATGAGAGACATGGTCTTTGCAGCTGTAATTGACATTTCAATAGGACTGAAAGCAACGATTAACCAACGGCAACAAGAAATGAGCATTTGATGTTTGAACAGATCTCAGCTCAAAATTAATTAAAGTAGAGGCAGCCTTTACTCACTCTGTAGGTGAATGAAGTGAGCAGCTGAAATCATGATTTTGTTAGGTTGAGTATTCAAATCTGAGTCAGTGTTTCAAAATGCATGGAGTGTGAGAGACAACTGTCCTATTTCCATCATTTTGAGGGGGGTGTTACTTCCTTGCAATCTCCTAATCTTTGGCTACTCGGTGTAAACAGAAGTGGGAAAGTTGGAGGACCTTCTCATGGATGTGGCTGAGGAGGCAGCTCCCAGATTGAGGTTAGGCATAGCCAGTGAAATTATTCACCCTGGCACCAGCATCTTTACCATGGCACTGATGTGTGCCCAAGTCACCCCAGATGCCAATATGTGACAGCTGGGCATTGGAAGAATGGGAGTGCATTGTTGGCACAAGGAACGATGTTATGATTTGTTAGGTTTCCTGTTTTATATGGAATTTGCTGCTTATTTTGTGTGCCCATTTTTTAAAAAGAACAGGCTTGTTGCATTACCTAATTTGATGACACTTTGAGGAATCCAGTCATATTCTAATTGGTCAGTTAAGATTTAGAGACCTGAATCTAATAAATCTGAACCACATCTGGGCCAGTATTTCACACTGTCAACATCCTGGCAGTTACCTTTGACAAAAAAACTAAACTCAACCAGACATATAAATAAAATGGCTGCAAGAACTGGTGAGAGGCTAGGAATAATGCAACGAGTATATCACCTCCTGACTCCTCAAAGCCTGGCCTCCATCTGCAAGGCACAAGTCAGGAGAGTGATGCAATACTCCCCACTTGCCCAGATGAATCCTCATAAAATCCCTACAGTGTGGAAACAGGCCCTTCGGCCCAACAAGTTCACACTTGAACCACAAGCCGCAGAGCTTCCCACCCAGACCCATCCCCCTATAACCCACCTAATCCACACACCCATGAACACTAGGGGGCAATTTAGCATAGCCAATCCACCTAGCCTGCATGTCTTTGGACGGTGGGAGAAAACCCACACAGACGTGGGGAGAATGTGCAAACTCCACACAGACTGTTACCCAAGGGTGGAATCGAACCTGGATCCCTGGATTGCAAGGCAGCAGTGCTAACCACTGAGCCACTACGACTGCAGCTCCAACAACACTCAAGAAGCTTGACATCATCCAGGATGAAGCAAACAAATACTTGGCACTGCATCCACAAGTATCCACTCCCTTCACCACCAACGGTCATTAGCAGCAGTGTGTACTAGCTACACGATATACTGCAGAAATTTACCAAGGTTCCTTAGACAACACACAACCACTTCCATCGCAAAGGTCAGGGGCAGCAGATACATGGGAACACCACCACCTACAACTTCCCCTCCAAGCCACTCGCCATCCTGACTTGAAAATATATTGCTGTTCCTTCACAGACAATGGGTCAAAATCCTGGAATTCCCTCCCTCAGGGCTTGTGGGTCAATTTACAGCTGTAGTGGTTCAAGAAGGCAGCTCATTACCACCTTCTCAAGGGCAACTAGGAACAGCCCAGCTAGTAACACTCACAGCCCTGAACAACTTAAAAAAAAAACCCATGGTCACAGTTGCTATTTAGCAATGAGATTGCATATTTTATAAAATCTTTGAGCTGAACATCTAATTTAAATTAGAATTTCATTAAGTACTACTTAATTATGTGCTTATTAGTAAATGAACCAGAGTTGAGTAACCATATGAATGTGATAGGTTTGATTAATTATAACAAATGTATGAATGTTTGAACAAATATTTTGCACAGACAGATAACAGACTGGAACTGTGGTTATTAATTTGGTGAAAATAAGGAACTTTTATTAACCAAGTGAGGAAATAACAGGGATATTTCTAATCCTACCTAATAGTGGCTCACATCTATTGTCACCTAACCCCTCTTAAATTCATAGAAAGATCTAATTATTTGAGTGTTAATTGAAAACTGCTTTATTAGCTATTTAGAAACAGTCATGAAGGAAGAATACCTAGAGGTGCTGACTCTAGAGACAAGGATTTAACATCGGGAATTTTTTTGGACATACTTACAAACCCTGCTCCTGTAAGCTTTGTTCAGTTTGGTGTTGGAAAAGCCTGTGTTATTAATTGAATGATGCTGATTTGAATGATTCCAAAATTTAAAATAAATGAGAGAGGCTTCTTGAAAAATGGTCATGAACGTTCTGCCAGTAAAGCAGGGGAAATATTCTGACTATCACCAGACTCCCTTGTGGATTGCAATTTTATTTTTCTTTCAGTTATTTCTTGTTCTAGATAAAATGATGGAAGGATCCGTTAATGGGGAGGAACTGAAAGCTCTTGGGGGTTTGAGGGAGGTGGTTATAGGCTGGAGCCAAAGGTTCCCTGAAGGCGAGAGAAAAGAGAGAGAGAGAGGCGGGGTTAGAGGAAGAGAATGAGCTGTTTGTGCGGCCGATATTCCGTGCCCATTGATTAAATGCAACACTGATGGAGGAGCACAGGACGGAGGGAATCAATCTCTCGAATGAATGCGTGTTGTAGGCAGGGTCGAGAACACATCTTTGCAGTGGTGTAGCCACAAGCCATAGTCGTGATAGTAAACGTGAGGGAGGAACACCATCGGGATCCAGTCTACGGGATGCAGAGTGAGCGGGAGACAGTGCAAATGATCTGATGCTGCAGGAAAGCGCCATTGTCTGTGTCAGCAACCTAACCTCCTGCTAGATCTCGCCATCTCTATTAAATGCATTGGGATCTGCAAAGAGGAGCTGTCTGCTCAATGGTGCTTGTTATTGCTTGTTTCCTTTTCGCCGTAAGGGTGAGTGGAATGTAGCCTCAAACTGAGAGGGTTTAACCCGAGGGCGGTTATTTTACACAGACAAACCGGTCTGAAATTGGTGTGATTACCTCGACACTGTGTGCCTTGTATAGCTCTTGTGCGCTTTCACCATCAATGTCACAACGGACTGGGGGAAATAAAAGGGTCGCCCAGGCGTAATCTGCTTTCCCAGCAAAATGAAATCATATTTTCCCCAAGACGGCTATATTCCAGGTTTCTTGCGCCCCATTTACACCTCTTGCTTAAATGTCTGTTTGGATTAACCACTTTACCGAAATGCTATAAAATGACGGAACAATTTTGGTTTCTTTTGCGAAGAGAAGCTGCTCATTACGAACTTGCCTCTCATTGTTAATTTGCGGGGAGAAAAATAACAGTTCGGGTCGATTTATAATCAAGTGTGCTTCCATTCTGGGGAATTTAGCGAAATGAATGCTTCCTTGAATAAATGGGATGAGCCGATAGCAGAGCTGACCTTTCTCCTTTGCGTGAGTTTAAATAGCCCTACTCCCCAAGGCTATACTGTGCCTTTGAAAAGTCCTATCGTAGTCATTTCTGTAGTTATTACTTCCGTGGTTGTAAGAGCTGATCGGAAATTGTTAGCGACTTGTGGCTAATCTATAAATGGATAGATTTGATAGCAGCCATCCAAGAATAGACAGGCAAAAAAAATCAACGACGTCCCAACGGAAAGAAATTACTTATCTGGAAAAGAGAAGTCGTTGCGAGATATAAACTTTTTAAAGATGGGCGCAGTTGTGAATATATATCTGTACAAGCACACATTTCACACGCAGACACTATATGTTACAATGCGCACGTACACTTTTGTATCTCAGGGCACACGTGTCCCTGTGTAGCGTGTGGATAAATCTATTCCAGCAACTGATATTATGATAGACAGTAGGAAGAATCTGCCATGGTTAATTTGTACAAGTCCAGGTCTTGGGATTTGTGGACCATTGGCAATAAGCAGATGATGTCGCTCAAAGCTTCAATGGGTTACATTCTGACCGTGTACAACAAAGTCTCCAAACATAATGCGCTCCTCTTTCTCCCGGGTGCACTAGTAGGAGCTTACATAGTCTCACAAAGCTTGGTTAATCAGTTTTCAGGAACGTACATGGCTCGTTCTTGTTGCCTCTGATCAAGTAATAATGATGTTCCCTCGGATATTGCCTGGTTGAGATGGAGAATTGCTAATCTTTTCAAGATAGATTTATTTTACATCTCCACACACTCTTTTTAGCCTAGGGGAAATACCCGGAAAGTATCAGAAGCAGGCTGACTGTCGACCTGTTCAACTACATGTGAATGCTCCTTCCGTAGGAGTGGGACTGTGTGTTTTTCAGTATGAAATGGTGCATGTTGAATATTGAAAAAATACAACAGTTTCTGATTCAAAACTGAAATGAATTTTGCTTTGAATTATGAATCATTGATGGAGATGCGTAAGAGCCACTTTTTTTAGAGGTACTGTCATATAATGGTCTGATCAGTCTCTTAAACTGGAATAGATCGTGGGTGTGTATCATTTAAGTGCATCTACCTCACCTATTCAGAAAATCTGTACATTTGACAAACTTAAACTGGCAACTCCAAAAATTTCTGATAGCAGTAGAGTAAAATGATCAAAATTGTACTTCAGAAAGATACAACCTCATTGAATAGAGACTGTTTATTGCATGCCTTACTAAATATCATCACCATGATAGAATTGGCCACCTCTAACCTTACTTGAATGATTATATTTGAATTCATATATACAATGATCTGTTGTCTTTTGTTCCAATAAAGACCCCATTAGTTTAATATGGTATTGACTGGAATCTTGTACCATCCAATCTAACAATTACATTTGTGTGCATCTTTTAATGTTGGCAAAATGGCCTAGTGCTTCACAAAGGAAAAATGAATGTGACACGTTGGTTTGTTTGGATTTAAAGAGAACATTACAGGTGAGGGAATTAAAGCAGTTTTATGTGGCAAGATTTTGAGATTCCAACCCAAGATAGCTGCAGCTTCATTAGAAATTTACTTGATTAAGGTGCAACTCCTTGGTACTGATGGATTCAGATGCACGATACTGGGGATTTTCTCACTTTTAAAATCATTTGCTGTTTTAATTTCTCTTCTACTCCTTAAGGGTATTGGTGCTTTACATTTAAACACATCTTTCTGATTGTAATTAAATTGCACTTAAGATTTGGCTCCAAATGTGGTGTCATGTAATGTGGCCTTAGTGAGCCGCTGTATAATTTTGTACAATCTTTATTTGCACCATTTAAATAATGAGCTGCTTTTCAGTAAAGAGGCAGGTCAGAACAAAATTACACCCCATCAATCCAATGAAACAATAAGAATTAATTTCTGTAATTTTCCAGTGAGTAATGAACTTAATTGTATATCTTATGAAATTAAGCTGTATCCTAGCAACTGGTGTTTCATTTTCCTTTGTGCTAAATGCTGCTTTAGGTAACACATGACCTCATCTCCTTACCTTTAGCACTTCCTTCCCACACTGCTGCCCAATGATAAATGTTGCAATGCTCAGATTGTCCCATCTCCTTACACTGAGGCATTTCCCACTTCACTTTAGAGGCAGTCAACATGAAATTAAGAAAAGCACACTGCTGAAGATTAAAGAGCCAGCACATCATCAGCACACATGTACACACACATGCATATTATGTTTGGCTTATTTCCTTTTTGCACCTTCGTAGCTTTCAATCATCTCATCACCACTTTTTAGCAGGCCCTTTGTCTTTGGTTCTGAGCACCATTACAATCCGTTCCACCCATTCCTCCTCCTGTTCTGTCTACAATATTAAAAAACATCAATTTCTAACTCCTTTCAGCTCTGAAGAAGAGTTGTATTGGATCAAATTGTCATCTCTGTTTTTCTCACCACAGATGCTGCCAGACCTTTGAGTTTCTCAAGCACTTTCTGTTTTTATTTCATATTTCCAGCATCAGTATTTTGCTGTATTTTTGGTGAGCTGAATGGCATTTCCCTGATGCACCTTATCAAATTAATTGAAGAAATATGAAAAAAGATGTAGACTAACAAAAATACGATAAAAGATGCAGAATAATAAAAATATATAGTGTAAAAGTCATTTAGTTAATTACTTTTAAAGATCATATTTGACACGTCTCCATTGTGCAAAGAAGCCATTTGGCATATCATATGGACTTCATCCTGAATCCAAGATGTATGCATTTGACTCACACAGTACTGTTTTAGAATGCATTTAGCCTAGATTTCTCAAAAAATGGCTGCAGTCAGAAATCTGGCTTTTCTGTTCATCCTCAGCCTTGATTGACAAAGATCAAACTGTTGTGTGAATACCTCTCCAACCTTCAATTTCTTCACACCAACTATTGATCCAGCTGTAAAGATTGAGGGGCTGCTGATGTTAGTGGTCTTGCCTGCTAATTGATTCAGAATCAATTACCTTGTCTGGGAGTTTCTCCTGAACCTGTAAGGGTGGGGGTACAGAGTATTTTTCTAATCTTTGCTAGAAGTTTGTGGATTCTATATTAGAAACTAAAATATTTTGTTCAATTTTAAGAATATGATGTCATATAAGCATCAGATTATTCCTCCAAAAACAAAAATGCAGAACACTTTCTGTGAAAGTACAAACATTTGACCCATCAAGCATGATGATTGGAAGTCTAGAAAAATTTGCTTCATTTAAACTAGTTTTAACTGGATTGAAGGGAGCATTGTATATTTCAAACTTTCAAGTATATCATTTTTTTTTCTTTCAGTATCTCATCTGAGATTGAAATGTATGCTGATTTAAATACTTTGTGTTCTCCAGTACTCTCATTTATGGTACATTGATTGATAAGCTTTATTCTTGATATAATGTGATTCAAGTCACTCTGCAAATTTAATTAGGAAAAAATACTTTAGAAATAGACTGTGAAAAACTTACATGCAGTGGTTAATCAATATTCCATTGAGCTATTTAGTAGTCAGATTGGATTCACTTGTAAACTTTGTGGGTCAGGTTTTGTCTACAGCACTTTTGTCCATCCCACTAGACTAGATTATGAACTCTTGAGGTTCTTTCTTGTGAAATTTTCTGGCATAAGTGCTCATAAAGCTGAGAGTTTAGACTTTCTCAGCTTCTAATAACGGAAATATATAGCCTATATGTTTGGATGTTTCACAAGCTAAACTTTTCTATAGAGGTGCATATTTTTCCCTGGGCTGCCTATTCTGATTTCCTGGGGTGAAAATTAAGTTTGCTTCTGATGTCAGTCAAGTGTCCTTTAAAACTGCCTAAAAGCATTTAATACTAAAATCAATCCTCTATGATCCTGAAGCTAAAACAAGTTAATGACCTTCAATGTTTATCCCAACAATTGTAAACCAGAGTAAAAACAATTGGCAGGACTAGATCACTGTTCCAGAAGCACTGTCTGACCTGGTTAGTTTTTTTTTAACTCTCTCAAAAATGATCAAACCCATCTACTGCTATTTTAAAATTCAAACTGTAGAAGTGATTATATTGGATATTTTTCATAACATTACACCCTTCATACAGCACTCTTGAAGATTTTGTTTTCTAAGTTATTATAGGAATATTTGAGAGAAAAGATAGTTTGACTGCTTGGGGCAACTGGAAAAATGAAGCCTTGTGATGAAACTTGTAAAAATATGTGTGGAGTTGTCAAACTGAATTGATCCTCTCCCTTTTCTCTACCCAATACTGCATTTTGTAGAAGTGTAATCAACTTTCCTACCACATTTATTGCCCAGACTGTGAAATCCACAATCTACCTTCATGTTTTCTGAGAAGCATCAGAGGAATTTTGACTGAAGCTTGAGAGACAGTCCAGATGGCTTTTAATAGTGGCTGAAATAGTCTACAAACTGTTGCCCATATCACAATTCAAATAATTTATTTGAATTTCAGAAGTGCAATGAATGAAAATGTTGCAAAATAAAATAAAACATTGCT